CAAAAAAAAAATCTCCAAAACAGTGACCTCCAACTTTCTAAATCCCATCTTCAAAACATCTCTCATCTTCTTTAAAGAGCAGCGACCAACTTCTTATCCGACCCTTGAAAATAGCCTGCATGAAAGAATTAGTTGTAGTTCTATTGAAATTTGAAAACCACAACATTTCTACTCAACCAAATAGCCCAACCTAGACTAGCTGCACCAAGTAAAGACGGGCTCTGACACTACAGCAGCCACACGCTTTGCCGAGTGCCCCATGCATGTCTTTGCCGAGTGCAACACTCGGCAAAGAGGCTCCGTCGAACCTTTTCACGGTAAAGCCTGCTTTGCCGAGTGTCAAATCTTGGGCACTCGGCAAAGGATTGACGGCCGTTGGCCGAAGGCTCACGCCGTCTTAATTTTTTTTTAATTTCTTTGCCGAGTGCAACACTCGGCAAAGAATTTTTTTTTTCAAAATTCTTTGCCAAGTGCCATAGCGCCGAGGCATTCGGCGAAGCCTGTTTTTATTTTTTTTATTTTCTTTGCCGAGTGCCACTGCCAAGGCACTCGGCAAAGCATTTTTATTTTTTTTAAAATTTTTTTTGCCGAGTGCAATGGCCATTGCACTCGGCAAATCTGGGAAATTGTTGCTGCTATTTTCCCAGCTTTACCGAGTGCAATGGTCATTGCACTCGGCAAAGCCACAACAAATTTTTGTTTTTTGTTTTTTGCTTTTCCATGTAAACAACAGTGCATATATATATATTAGAAATCACAATTCAACACAATATATCAGAAACCGCGTATATATATCACAAACGACCAATTATGTTCGAAATCCACAATATATTATAAACCACAAGTTCACAAGTTCAATACATAAAGGCATGCCTACGTAAAACCGACTCCGGAAGCGGCTCACGGCGAATGTGAGGGTTGCGACGCCCCAACTTGCGATGCCGGCGACCCTCCGAGATTGTTTGACGCCGCCCCCGATTGATGCTGCACAAAAGAGAAGAGATTGCACGTGAGTGACAAGATAAAAATGTAAGCAGTTTAAAGAAAAGTTGAAAATTTCGGCAGCACCTCCCCTGCACGGGGAGGTTTCCAAAACCTGTAAGACAAACGTCGGCACGAAGGCCGACAACCACATTTTCGGCACGAAGGCCGACACATCAACAAACCCGGCACGAAGGTCCACACATCAACAAATCCGGCACGAAGGCCATCACTAGGTTTGACACTAAGCATGAGCATAGAAAGTAAAGCATCCGAACTCATACTCACCGGAGTAGAATTTGGACGATGTGGTGGTGGTGGTGGTGGTGCAAGCAGGTTGGCTGGGATCTCCCAACGACGTCGCATGTGAAGATGTCTGGGTTTTAGGCATCCGACGTCGCAACTTGCTCGAAACCTTCTCAAATTTTTATCATAGCCTCCACATGTGATCACACGACACCTCGACAAGTTTCGTGAATTTCGGACTTCGTTTGCATTTTCTATAATTTAAATACACTCCAACCACAAGCGGGTCGTCATGTTTGGCGAACAAGGCGTTCAAAATTTTGGGTGAGTTCCTGTATACGGCCTCAAAATACACTCTACAACATGACTATCATTTTTTGAATGGCTACATTTCATTATTTCATGCACCTGCAGTTCAAATTTACTTTTTCGGAAAAAATGCAATTAAACAAAATTAATTCAAGAAATATAGCAAAAAGTTATAAAAAGGTCCCAAATTTTAACATGTGCTTGTAAACAATAGATAAGGTCTACAAAAAAAATTGAAATCAAAATTAAAAAAAACAAAAATACTTTTGCGAGAGTGTCATGCGACACTACGGCAAAAGAGGGCTTTTGCCGAGTGTGGGGCAGCAAGACTCGCAAAGGGCCTCTTTGCCGAGTTGTTAAGCGCTTCGTAAACATTTTTTTAAAGATGGTAACGGCGTATGGGTAGGGGTAGGCAACGGCGACGGGCATTTTGCCGAGTGCGCTCTTTTGCAGTGTTGTAATCGCTTTTGCCGAGTGGCGTGCTTTGCCGAGCGCCGGGCACGCTGCAGCACTCGGCAAAGCTACTCTTTGCCGAGTGCAATTCTTTGCCGAGTGCAACACTCGGCAAAGAGTGGCTTTGCCGAGTGCCCTATTTTCGACACTCGGCAAAGCATGCGGCACTCGACAAATTTTGCTTCTCCCGTAGTGTGATGATCTACCCATATGAGCATGCATCATATTATATACATGTAAATCAGTAAATTATCTTTGTACCGATGCAGCAGAAGTGAAACCATCATAATTTACTAATCATTGATGAGCAATAGCCAATAGAAAAATGACACATAATCCACTACTTTTTTTCACCAAAATTGGATCACAGTTCATGTGTGGGAGAACAATAGTCAAATATTGACTCAGTGACACTCCCGAAAACTATACATCATCGATTGATGAAATTTACTAATATTCATGATTTGGCTATTGCTATGTAGAACTGAAAACACCATTTACTATAAGTACATGATTCATAAACAATTTCTTGCCAATTAGAAATCAGATTTTTCCTACTAAATGCCCAATTTGGAAGATCAAAATACCACTAAAAATTAAAATTTGCTAATGGTATCTTAACAAAGGTGTCACTCTCACGAAAGATAATATTGCAAAAGAAATTGGCAAGGCAGTCTCAAATGTTGCTTCTGTGGTTCTTTAGAGACTATACAACTTTTATTTTTTGATTGTTATTTCACAAGATTTATTTGGAATACCATTTATATCACCTTTGGAATTCAACCTCCCGTTAGCTTTACTCATATGTTTGGTTCATGGCTTTATGGTATTCCATCAAAACTCAAGAACGGGATTTTAGTGGATGTTGCAGCCCTATATTAGGCAATTTGGTTGAATAGAAGTGATATGGTATTCGATAACAAGAAATCTAACACCTTTATACAGGTCATTTTCAGAACAACCTATTGGATTCGGACGTGGTCGTTGCTGCATAGTAAGGGAGGAAACAAGAAAGAACATGAAAAATGGTTGTAGACTTTTGGAGACGGTGATCGTGGAGGTCTTCGCTAGGTTTGGATGGAAGTTCCGTTCTCGAATAGAATTGAAGTTTAGTTTTCTTTCTATTCAATTATCTAGACTTTGGTTTTTTTTTAATCTTATCTCTCCGATATATTTCGGTATATATGAGCCTAAGAGCTCGTGGCTGTATTTGAATAGTTGTAAACGATGTAGAGGTTGAAACCCGTTCCATTGTTAAAAAAAGAAATCAGATTTCTTAAGAAACACATGCAAAGCTTTTAAACCATATTTTGTTAATAATAGTGGTTAGTATATATAAATTTTAAAGAAAACACTTCAAACTGGAAAAGGGGTTCATCTGTTTGTATATTTAGGTGTTGCCCCCTACTATCCAGGCACAGAATTTACATTCTTAGATATTCATCAATCATTCATTCAATGAATCTTCCTCATTATTGTACCCCATCATCTTTCTTCTCTACCTACCATTTCCTTTCTCATGGTGCCCAATCATCACTAAATGCTATACTAAGGCCCATTTTAGATCCCCTAAGAAAAATGAGAATGAGGTAGAAAAATGAGAATACGATCCAAACACTTGAATGAATTCTAAAATGAGATTCTAGAATCTAATATCTACTCCAAATCTACTATTTAGAGATTTTCACTATGCAAAGACAATAATTACTATATGAATATTCAAACACTCCTTTTTTTTTATCTAAAATCCAGAATCTCAGCACGAGAAATGAGATTCATGCCCTAACTCGTCCGAACAAGTTTCCCCAGCCCTCGCTCCCGCCCCAACCATTGCCTTTGCCTATGGTGATCTTGCACCATCGTCTCTATCCCTGCCCTACCTTTTAGGCTTTCTCCCCGGCCTTCCTCCTAATAAAGCTCCAAATTCATAATCCTAAAAATCTTATAACCCCCTAAAATCCCCTACCTTTGATCTATTGGAGCCTTGGAGGGGCTTGATATATAGATAGAGTGTGGCTAGTCTCACGCTGCAGAAGCTCAACCGAGTATTTTCAGAGATTTCATGAGCCATATATAAAGAAAGAACAGGAGAAATCGAAGCAGAAAAGAAAAAGAAAACAGTTCGCTTGCTAATCGCCCATCGGGCTGCTGCGCCGACGTTTATGTACGTCGTGCTCGTGCTTCCCCACCCCGTCCGACTAGTAGGGATGAAAACGGACGAAACGGACGGGAAAACTCATCTCTTATTTTCATTTTATATTTTTAGGAAAATAAAACGGAATTAAAAACGGATGAGAGATATACGGAAACAGACAAATACGGATGGAGAGTCGGAAAAATAAGTTAGAATAATATGATCAAATATTCTTAGTATACATGAACAAAGTCACAAAATAATATACATGTACAAAATTATCGGTCCAATATTCACTAGTATACCATGTGTTAACATGCATAATTTGTGATTAGTAGGTTTACGAACATATCAATTTCTAGACATATCTCACGTAGATTGAAAATGGGATGAAAAACGGAATAAATACGGATCAATTCTGAATAAAAACAGGATCTCGTGAAAATAGACGAAAAAACCTCTTTTCCGTTTCCATAAATACGAAAACAGGATCTACAAGTATACGAAAGCGGACACAAGAAAGTTGAAAACGAAACGGGTCACGAGATTTTTTTCGTCCGTTTTCAACTTTATCCACTAGGACCGGACCTGGGCAGTTGGTTGGCGGCGTCGGGCCCCACGCCCATCCCCACTTCCAACTGGCACGAACCGCCACTTCTCCACACGCCCCCTCGACCGCCCTCGTCTCGACACCATCCCGCGCGCCACGGCCTCAGCCTCGCTGCCCTGCCCTGCCCTGCCCTGCCCTGCTCCGCCTCCTCACGTTCTCCGCCCTCCCCACCGCGACGCGCTCCCCGCGGCAACCGGGCGTCCCCAGGTCCCCAGGAGCACGCACGCCCTTCCGCGGCGCGCGCCCAATGCCCAGGGCGCGCGGTTTATGGGCGGCCGCGCCCGGTCCCTCCTCCGCTGGCTCCGTCACCGCTCCCGCCGCGTCTCCTCCTCCTCCTCCTTCCACCTGACCTCCACCACCACTAACAACAACGACAGCACCGCCACCAGCGAAGACCTCCGCGCCCACTCGCTCCCGCACCAGTTCCACGCCGAGGAGGAGGAGAGGGAGGTTGAAGAAGAGGAGGAGCGGGAGATCGGAGAAGAGACCGCCGCCGAGGGTGCCGAGCCCGCGTCCGAGTCCGAGGGGTGCATTGTCTTGGGGGATCCGGAGCCGGGTGCAGGACCGCGCGCACCGGTGCGCACCGAGCTGCTACTCATGGATCCGAGCAAAAAGGTGGGTCAACTCAACCGCGTCCCCGTGATCGCGCTCTTGGATCCTTGCGACCTCCCTGTTCCCATCTGCTTCTGACGTGGTGTTTGGATCCGTCCGCTGACGGCGGCTGCTCACTGTACCCTCGTGGTGCGTCACGAGATTCCTAATGGTGGCGGTTACCGTTTTTTGGAGTGGTGCTGGGCAGGGCGAATTCATCGAATGATCTTGTTCTTGCGCGTTCTTGCCAGTTCTTTTGGATCTGCATAGTTGGGTTCAGAGATGGTGCGCTTAACGGGGCATCCGAATGATGCTTCGGTAACGGGGTTATATTGGTGTGCTCAAATCGTCGTACTACATCACGCTAGCTGTCTCTGTTCGAGTCCTTTGAATCCAAAACGCGTGGCAGTTTAAGGAAACGGCTTGCGCTTTATGGAAAGAATCGTACAACCTGCGGTACTGCCTTTGGAAGATTCATGGGGCCCTGCGCTTCCACTGCTCCGTGCCTTTTTCTTGTCCCTGTCATTTAAAACTGAATTGGTCAACGTCAACAGTAGTTTGGGAAGTTGCGGTGTTCCTTGTTGACTTTTCACGAGGTACTGTTGTTTTCCAGCTTATCGTTGATTTGGGAACAATAATCTTCAGTGTTGACTGTTACCCTCTAATGCAAACTAAATCCCTGTATGTTCATGTCTGATCTGCGCATGTTGTCTTGTCTATTTCTTTTGAAGATGTTGTGTTGTCTATTAGAATGTTGACAGTTCACACTATTCAGTATTCGTAAGTTGAACTCTTTTGCTCACTTTCAGGAGTCTGAATTCTTCACCGAGTATGGTGAAGCAAGCCGGTATCAGGTCAGTGAAGTCATTGGCAAAGGGAGCTATGGTGTTGTGGCTGCTGCCGTCGACACCCAGACTGGTGAGCGTGTGGCTATCAAGAAGATCGTTGATGTCTTTGATCATGTCTCCGATGCAACTCGCATCCTTAGGGAGATCAAGTTGCTTCGGTTGCTGCGTCACCCAGACTTAGTTGAGATCAAGCACATTATGCTCCCTCCTTCGAGGAGGGAATTTAGGGATATCTATGTGATCTTTGAGTTGATGGAGTCGGATCTCCATCAAGTAATAAAAGCAAATGATGATCTCACAGCAGAGCATCACCAGTTCTTCTTGTACCAGCTGCTCCGTGGGATGAAGTACATTCATGCAGGTTGTTAGACTCCACATTGAGGGAACTTGTTAATAGTTTGTTAGTTCTTGTGAGCTTTGGTTTCTATGCTTGTTCTATAAGTCTTGGTTTTGCAGCAAGTGTCTTCCATCGGGATCTTAAGCCCAAGAACATTCTAGCCAATGCTGACTGCAAGCTGAAGATTTGTGATTTTGGCCTTGCCCGCGTTTCATTCAATGACACCCCATCAGCCATATTCTGGACGGTAGCCATTTTCATATTGTTGAGCAAAATTATATTTGTTGAACAGTCAAAACTTGATTTTCTTATGATGTAGCATCTTTTGCTGTAGGATTACGTGGCCACTAGATGGTATCGAGCTCCGGAATTATGTGGCTCCTTTTTTTCAAAGGTGGTGTTTCACCTTAGCTTCATTTTGCGATCAACATATCAATGTATTTTTCCCCTGAAATTATTACATTAGTTTGATAAGTTCGGATCCAATATAGCGATACTAGTTCCAGATTATCATCTGTTTTTGAGGTTACCCTTAAGCATAACTTTGAGTTCCGGATTTTAACCAACTGTACTTATATCGGCTAACTTCCCTGTGTGCAACAGCATTTATCCTTTTATTTTTAGAGTTTCTACTACTTTTGCAAGGCATCTGGTTCAGATGTTTTATTCTATATATTGTGGTGTCCTTTCTTTTGACAGCATTTAATTATAATATGCATGTTTTTCTTCCCAGCAATTTCCAAAGGAAAAAAAAACCCCTCCACTCCGCTTCTCAATGCCCCTTTCATTAAAAAAAATGTGAATATTGAACATAGAGGCGTGTTTTACATGCAGATTTAATGCTGCAGAGCTGGCTGTTTATTACTTGAACAATGTGTACATGGTGTGGAATTGATGTCTCTGCTTGTTTTACAAATTTTATAGAATCGCGAGGTTCTGAATCTGGCATTGACTTTTGCAGTACACTCCTGCCATTGATATTTGGAGCGTAGGGTGTATATTTGCTGAATTGCTCACAGGGAAGCCAATCTTTCCAGGGAAGAATGTTGTGCATCAGTTGGATCTTATGACTGATCTACTTGGTACACCTTCAGCAGAGTCTATCTCCAAGGTATGCTCACTCGTTACTAGTGAGACCTTGCATCTGATTTCTTCCATACTTATGTTGAGCTTAATTTTCTGTATTCCAGGCATTACTCTATTTCAGATTTTTAGGTACGGAACTTGTATAAAATGCTCAGTCTTTCATTGGTAGTGCACAGTTACTAACTTACCAATTGTTCATTTATATTTATTGTCCTTTCTTTTGAGGACTATTTCACTATGCCTCTTTAAACAAGTGCTTCAATGTTTAGTTACCAGAAAGTACAAAGTTCTGTACCAATTGACATAAATATTCAATAGCAACAATCTTTTGCTATTCCTCTAGATTATGTTGGAAACGAAATGCCAACTGATGGATGACACAAAATCATGTGTCCTACACTAAACCATTGAATCATTGCAGATAAGGAATGAAAAAGCTCGACGATACATGAGCAATATGAGGAAAAAGCCTCGGGTTCCCTTTACTAAAAAGTTTCCAGGGATAGATCCTATGGCTCTCCATTTGCTTGAACGTCTTCTTGCTTTTGATCCTAAGGAACGGCCAAGTGCTGCTGAGGTAGGTCTAGTTGAGTCCAAGTTTTGTCCATCATAAAGATAAATTTCATCTTTTATGCATCCCTGGTTGGTGCAGAAGGCAGAGATTACCCCCTTTATCTAAAAATATTTCACCTTTGAAATGCTGGATAAGTTGTTCCTCCAAATACTAATCCATGTAAATTTTATTACAGGCCCTGACAGATCCATACTTTAATGGATTAGCAAATAATGAACGTGAACCCCTAGCACAACCTATCTCAAAACTTGAATTTGAGTTTGAGAAGCGGAAACTGGCCAAAGATGATGTCCGAGAATTAATTTACCGAGAGGTACTATTGCTCAATTATATTCTTCACATCATTGTAGAGCTGCTTCTTTCATTACTTTCCTAACTCTTGTTACCTCTCTTTAGATTTTGGAGTACCATCCTCAAATGCTAGAAGAATACCTACGTGGAGGAGATCACAGCCAGATGACCTTCATGTATCCAAGGTGGGGTCCACTTTTTTGTTTAACAAACACACATGTGCTAAACTCTTCGCTGAGTATAGTAATTGCCTAGTTATATATGATTGGTTCAGGGTTTATTGGGAGTATAACTCTGATGTGTGTGCATGACAGTGGGGTGGATCGCTTTAGGCGCCAATTTGCTCATTTGGAAGAAGGCACTGCCAAGGGTGAAAAACCCAGTCCACAGCTGCGACAGAATGTTTCTTTGCCAAGGTTCTTATCAAAACTGACACTTTCTTTTCCTTAACCATGCGAAATTTTTTGTGTCTCTAGCGTGTGGGTCCTATTTTTCTGTCATCTTTTGGCCCTCCTTAGTTGTTCACTTATCTTCTTTTTTGAGAAATTTTACGCAGTCAGGGAGGTTCAATTGGTTATTTATGTAGAGCTTGCATAGATACAGTAGGTTTGATTGAATAAACAAAAGAGAGACCTTAAGCACAATTCCATTAAGGTCCCTGTTATCATAGTAGTTAAAATCTACTTGTATTATGAATTTTTACATAAAATAGTTAAAACTTATATTGTTAGTCTATATAAAATAAAATTTGAAATATTGATGGTCAAAGCTAAAAGATTTGACTTAGGAGAAACCTAAACAGGAGTAAGTACTTAACTAATAATCCGTGTATCTTGTCTCAGGGAAAGAGTAATTGGCAATAAACATGGAGATGGCAATGCAGGTGATAAGCTAGCGCATGCCTCAGTGACGGATGACATCAGCCAACCAGTCTTGAGTGCGAGAAGTTTGCTGAAGAGTGAAAGCATCAGTGCTTCCAAGTGTATAGGTGAAAAACCAAAGCATGTCAAAGATGTAAGTACAGCAACCACATCAGTTCATAATTTCGTCATCATTAGAATACAGGCTTATCCATATTTTCTTTTGGGCTAAGATTGCCAGTATACTTGCTTCCTTCTTTGATGTAGTGAACTGATATTTTAATTTAATCTGTACTTTTCCAGGAGGAATCTGTTTTGGAGAGCGTGGATGAAACAGTCGATGATGTGACGAAGAAAATCCCTCAACTGAAAACCTGATTTTTCTCAAGTTCACTGGAGCAATGAATAGCTCGTAGTATGGCACGTTAGGTTCTCAAGTTGAGGATGGGCCTACGGCAAAGGTCTATAGCTAATGAGACCACAAGTTCTTATTATGCCAGTAAATCTGTTGTGATGTAAAATTTCTCACGTTTTTTTGTAGTTTGTGACTGCATACAACCTATGTCTGACTGAATGGCTCCTCGTGTTTTCCTCTGTGGAGCCATCACCATATCCTGTAAATTTTCAGTTGGAAGTGAATCTTCAGCTGCAGCTGATGCATATTTGATTTTCCCCCAGCAAGTAGGCCTAGGTATTCAGTTAATTTTGTGAAATTGGTTATGGAAAATTTCAGTTTTGATGAAACATTCCGGTCCATTCTAAATTATAAGATGTTTTTAGTTTTTTTTAAGATACGTAGCTTTTTGCTTTTGCACTTAGATATATTGTTATGTCTAGATATACATAGTAAAAACCATATATATCTAGAAACGGCAAAATGTTTTATAATTTGGAACATAGGGGTAGCTTAAAACTGACCAAAACCGATTTCAAAAGTGACAAAGAATGCTATTCAACCTTTAGTGTTTAATATAATAGTCACAACGAAAATTAGTTATTTCAATTAATGCCACCTAAAAACTGAATAAATAGTTGATCATTGGATAATGCTAAACCACCGCCACAGCCGGCTGTTCCCAACATGTCCAAAGTTTTCACCGTGTACATCATAAAAGTTTTGGAAAGGCTAACGTCCGGGCGGGGGCTAGCGTCCGAACGTCCACGCCGGCTTCATGTAGGCATGCTGCTATGCTCGCACGCCTGCGCCTGCTTCACGTGGGGGCCCGCATCGCTCCGTGTCCCGCACCTGCCGCTTGTGCCCCTCCACACCCACACGGGCCCAGTAGTTGCAGCAAGCGGTTGCTGCATATGGGTTCCATTGCAACATGTGCAACATCAGATCTACTTTTGCAACATCTAGAGGAAACATTTGCAATGTACGTCCGAAACAGTTGAAACACTTGCAACATACGTCTGAAACACGAGGAAAAACACGTGTGTAGCCATTGCAAAACATATGCAACATCTAGATGAAACAATTACAACATTTATGTGAAACATATGCAACATTCGGATGAAACATTTGCAACATAAGTGTGAAACATATGCAACACCGAGATAAACACACGTGTAACATACATCTGAAAACAGCTGAAACATTTGGAACAGACACTTGCAACGTACATGTATAACCATTACAACATATGCAACATCTCGATCTACTTTTGCTACATTCACATGAAACATTTGCAACATGCATATAAAACACCTGAAACATACGCTCGCAACATGCGTTTTTCAGCGCAACATCTTCTTTGCTTGGGCGAATCGAGGCTCATCGACGCAGAGCTCGACGCTAGCACGAAGCTCGATGCCACAGAGGTCGCTAGTGCGGAGCTCATCGGCGGTGCGGAGCTCACCGGCAACACACGGCTCGCCAGCGACAACGCGGGCAGACCTCAGCGACGACACGTAGATGTTGATGGCAGCGCGCGTGGAGCTCAGCAGGGCGGTTGAGGCCATCGAAGAGGCGTGCGAGCTGCGGCGCGGGGTGAGGAAGCCGATGTGGTGGTCGGTTTGGACGGAGGTTGCATAGAGGAAGGCGCTCGGAGGCACGGGAGCGAGCGGCGGCCATGGAAGCTGGGTGGACGGCCATGGTGCTCGGTGCCTACGCTCTCGAGCAGAGCGAGAGGGAGAGGAGCGAGGGCGAGCAAATGGGAGAGGGAGAGAGGGCGCCGGCTCAGTCTCCACACTTGCGCGAACCCGAGGTGACAAGTGCGGGCGCGAATGGAGCATGGCGGTCATGCGTCAGGCAAGTTATATCCTGGACATACTTCCTCTTGCTCTGAATGGAGAGACGGAGGAGAGAGACAGAGACGAGATGAAAACGGAAATGATATTTGTGTGGTGGGTAAAGTGGACACCATGAGACCATATAGCGTCCGGCGTCTAGATACGGTACAGACACCTGCAGTGGAGCATTATCGTAAAAGTTTTAGTTAACCAACGTTTTCAGTTAATTTAGTTCGGTCACGAATGTTTCCCGCCACTACCAGCTACTTTTTTCGTTGCTTCTTTTAGTGCTCAAATTTTGTCTAGTCCCGAATTGTTTTCATGTAATTAGCTGCTACTGAATTTTGTTGATTGAATTTGTTTTAGTAGACTTACTAGAATCGTGTATTATATATAAACTTTATTTATCTTCTTCAAATTCATAATGAAAAATATGTTTAGCGTCTGCTCTTTCTCGATCTAGGCCGCCAATATCGGATCGTATGGGCCAATTTCTGAAGCCCAGGCTGGAGAAAGCAGATCGTCCAAAAGCCGCCTCGCTGCGCGTTCTTGGATCACGAACGGGCCAGGCTCATGGGCTGGCATGAAAAAGGATCACGGTGATTGCTATTCATTGCGCCAACGATATAGAAAACAAAAACCTGTAGGTAAACAGACTGGACAAAGGCTCATGGGCTAGTTTTGTATTTATTATATAATATAATATATAATATTACTGTAACATATTAATTTGTGTGGATGATAGCTGTATATACGAGTAACTATAGCTGTATAAGCATCTCTCTCAAGATTTCACATATATAGTAGTACATCTTAACCCAGGAAGATAATTAATATAGCTTTTGTTCCCAAAAAATATTTTTTAAAACCATTTATTAATTTAAACATATGCTTTTCACACTAATGAAAAAATATAATCAAGCAATCTGTTAACGACTATGTCACGCCGCAGAGGTACAAGCCATGATGCATCGCACCCCACGTCACGGTGAAAATTAAAAATGCTGTACCAACGCACCCCACCAACCAAACTCTTACGTTGGTGAAGAAGTTAAACGGCATGGACAGACTAATGATTTCGTATACTATATTGATTTCTTTGGTTTTGTATAATCCAGCTGGAATAATTGATATTACTGGGTGATGGTTGTATATATGAGCAACTATTAAGTATATATCGTCTGTCAAGATTTCACATAAATGTAGTACATCTCAACCTTAGAAAGATAATTATTACCAAGATTTTTTATAAAAATATTATTTATTCAAAAGATGTTTATTGCTTTCAACATCACCTAACTCTAGAAAGTTGGTGAAGTAAACCCAGATAAAGATGGATGGCTTTACATACTTCGGCCATGTCTATCCAGCTAAGTTGGAAGAAATTAACTAATAGCTAATTGTTAGCTGGTACTAGTAGATAACACATTAGCTAGCTTATTAACTAAGGATCCAAACGGATTTCCAGTTAATTTTTAGCAGTTGTTAGCTAATTTCCATAGTTTTGTATCCAGCTGGAATATTTAATCGTGGCTAGCTGTATATATGAGCAACTATTGTTGGAAGAATATATTTGTAGATTTCACATATAAATGTAGTACACCTCACAACTCCAGCAAGATAATTATTGTAGTTTCTATTTAAAAAAGTATTTTGAATCAAATGTTTCTTATTTTATATATTATGCCTTTCACAATAATTAGAAAACATCAATGAATCTTTGGCAAACATTATTACGCTTTTCACAATGATGAAAAAGATAAGGTTTTGACAGATCATCAGTACTCCTATAGTTCCATGGTCATGTTTTCACCCATAAGGGTACTGGAGCAATTTGTTAATGAGTCAATTTGTGTATTGGAGCAGACCGAATCTGTGTATTGGAGCAATTTGTTAATGAGTCACGACAAGCATTGCTTGAATCACGTGAACGAGAAAAATCTCTTGAGGCAAGAATGCAGGAGGAGATCAAGAGGCAAGTGCAGCTAGCAATGAGTCAAATGCAATCGCAATCAACGCCGGGAGTCACCATTAGCCCCGTTGGTCAGATGAAAAGCAGTTGTGCTTCCACGGAGCTGCCAGTTATTCAAGGTGACGCTGGGTTACGCTTCCCTGTTGATGACATTACCGAGCCTCTAACAACATGTGAGCTGCACATTCCAGATGATAATAATGCATCAATCATGGTGGCTGTTGGGGTTGTATCTCCAATAGACCGAACGAAGACACCAAGAATCCATGGGTCAGTTATTCAACCTGGATATGCTAGCGTCTCGGTCGATAGAGTGCTCAAATGTTACAGCAATGTTCCTCTTGACATTGAAGGCGGTGATGGGGAGAAGACACTAAGAGAAGCAGAGAAGACATTTATTCAATGGCGCAAATGCTTCATCATCATTCCTGAGGCGCCACCGCTTCCCCTACCTCACTCTAGGTACGAATGAAAGTGAATGAAATATTATTTTCTATTAATTTTATATTGGCTTCAAAAAATAATTGACCCACAACTTGTTTTTGTAGCAGGGTCTCCCCCCAGCCTAGCCTAATCATTAATTCCCCATCTCATCACAGCGTCGCGGGGGGTGAGACGACTTCATCCCCACAGCGATCTCCAACTCCTACACCGGCCCCATCGCCTCCACAACGATCTCCAACTCCTACACCGGCCCCACCGCCTCCACAACGATCTCCAATGGCTCCACGCCGGACTCCAACACCGGCCTCATCGCCTCCACGCCGGTCTCCAACACCGCCCCCACCCCCTCCACAACGACGCACTACAAAGACGTCTAAGGTCCCGGCGGCAAAGAAGACCAAAAAAGAGTTATTTCTCAAGAAATACTTCCTAAAAAGACTGATGAGCAAATAGCAGCTGAAGAAGACAAAAAAGTGAAAGATTTTTTTATAGATATCCAAAAGCAGAGACAAGCGAAGCTTAAGGAGAAGTCGTACTTTTACATACCACGAGATCAGCTGAGGCAGAAGGTCGAAGCTCACAAGAAAAAGATGCTTGAAGTTCGTAAGCCTCCGCCACTATCAGACTATGACCGCTCCCTCGTGAAGTCACATGATGCACATAAAAAAAGGAAAAGAGCATCAGGGAAGGATGTCCCACAGCTCGGACAACAAAAGCAACCAATGCAAAA